TACCATACTTCTGCGCCATCATGTGAAACCAGCGTTTCCCTTCAGTCAAGAGCCCAGAAAGAAGGCCCAACGGATAAACCTAAAGAGGCGAGGATATAGGCATCGATCCTCTACAGGTAGTCTGGTGAAACGGCACCTTCGAGCCTAGGCGAGGGATAAACCTAGCCTTCGAGCCTAGGCGAGGGGAAGGGATGCCCTTCGATGTTAGAGGAGGCAGGTGTTGGGTCATCTCCAGCCCTGGTTTTAAGTCCTGTGTTCGACTCCTCTGCCGGTTGCTAATCCTCGAGGCTTCACTCGTAGTTGTTTTAGGTGCCTTTCTGTAGTGGGCTTCTCCTCAACTAGCAGCTCTTCATATGTTATCTTTTGTTTTGCTGGTTGTAGGTGTAGCGTTGTAAGCTGTTATTGCAGCCCCCTTGTATCGTTTGGCCGATGTTGTATGGTGGTCTTGTTCTTGTACTCTTGGCCGGTTGATGGCTTTGTTAATTCAAAGCCGGGCTCTTCTTGAGCCTTCGTCTTAAAAAAAAAAGTTCGTGAAGTGACGCGCCGCGTGTAGTGGTTGTTGGACTGCCTCGCCGAGCTTTATGCATGGCCGTTCATTTTGGCCATGGCCGTTGGGTTTGCAACGGCCTACTAGACAAGGAAATAACGGCTAGCTGGCAAATTTACTTTGCTTCATGCAGCGGTAGCCAAACAGCTCAAAGTATTTTTAATACTCTAAATTACTCTGATATGTCAAAACTGTAGTATCTTGCACCTATAGGCTAAAATACTGTAGTTTTCAATACTCTGGTTTTTTTAATACTTTGTTGTCAAACAGGGCCTAAGTTTACATACTGGTCGATCCAAAAATCTTTACCGTTGGGGTTATCCATCCAGTAAACTAATCACTTAATCAGCAAGTTTTACATCCCTAGTAAAACGCAGTGCGGGCCATCCAGTAAAGGCATCGCAGATACCCAAACCTCACATCTTTCGGCGACGAAGAAAGAAGCCCAACGGATAAACCTAAAGAGGTGTCGATCCTCTGCAGGTAGTCTGGTGAAACGCCATTGTCGGAATCCCTTGAGGTGTCGAGCGAGCATCAGATATATGCGCCGGCCATATCTCTTGCCTACATTCTATTCCAGGCTTGTGAAGCTGCGTGTAACATGCTTGTGAAGATATGTGGACTGGGCCGGGGGAATAACTTGATGCATCCATATCTTGCTTGGATTATTAATCCCAAGCTGCGTGTGACTCCTGCCTACAGGGATTGATTATTGGTGTATATGCTCGTGAAGATGCCACTCGTGTATCTGCTTGCCAAGATGCCATTCTCCATCGAATGGCTCGGATCAGCCACGTATACGCGACCTTTTTTTTCCGGTGAGATAAAGTTTTAAATACCGTGCAATGACAGCTAAATGAAATTAGATCCAGTTTTGCTAAAGTACACCTATCTAGATGTGCTATAAGTATTGCGCATCTGAGTCATATGTCATTGATTTAAATTAGATTTGTTGATATCACAAGTTACCGGATGGTAACCACAAGTCCCAGTACCGAAATCACTTTACCGACCCAAAAATCTTGAAGTTTAGATAAATTTTATCCGGATACAAAACTCATTAGAAAAGTCATCAGTATTTACAATTTACAGATAATCTCGGTGCCACATACGAAATAACTTTTTTCATGTGGGAACCAAAACCTTGACCTTACGTGCCTGGGAATCAGACAGGTGCGGAATATTTTGTTTCCAAGCCGGATTATTTATGCGCCCACAGGCTCTTCCTATCCATAGTTCCATACAGATACACATACACGTTACATTCTTCCCTCCCAGCTTGAAAGAAAACCACCATCACCAGAGCTTCAACTTGAACGATGGCGCACAGAGCGCTGGAGGTGACCCTGCTGTCGGCCAAGGACCTGAAGAACGTGAACCTGATCACGCGCATGGAGGTGTACGCGGTGGCGACCATCTCGGGCGACCCGATCACGCGGCAGTGCACCCCGCCGGACCCGCACGGCGGCCGCAACCCGACGTGGAACGCGACGCTGCGCTTCAGCGTCCCGGCCACCGCCGAGGAGGCCCGGGGCGGCTGCCTCCACGTCCTCCTCCGCGCCGAGCGCATGTTCGGCGGCGACCGCGACGTGGGCGAGGTCATCGTGCCCCTGGAGGAGATCCTTACGGGCGGCGGCTTCGGGGCCACCAGCTCGCCGCGGTTCGCGTCCTACCAGGTCTGCAAGGTGCACCGCTCCGAGACGCGCGGCCTGCTCTACCTCACGTACCGCCTCGGCCCCGTCGTCCCGCCGTCGCCGCCGCATGGAAAGCCGGCCGACGGGTGGCCGGTCGTCGGGTACCCGGCGCCGCAGGTGATGCCGTCTTCGCCTGCAACACCAGCCGGTGGCCATGGGGATGGGCCGTTTTCGCCGGCAAAACCAGCTGCTGGCTATGTGGATGTGTTGCCGTCTCCAAAACCTTATGGGTACGGGACGACGCCGCCGTCTCTAAAGCCAACCGATCAGGTGGTGTCCATGACAACTTCTCCAAAACCAGTCGGGCGTGTGGTGTCTATGCCACCGTCTCCAAAACCAGTTGAACATGTGGTATCCAAGCCGCCGTCTCCGAAACCAGCGGGGCGTGCGGTCTCCATGCCGCCTTCTCCAAGGCCAGCCGGGCATGAGGTGCCCATGCCGCCTTCTCCAAAATCACCCGGTGGGCATGTGTCGTCTCCGAAATCAGCCGGTGGGTATGTGCCGTCATCTCTGAAACCATCCGGTCATGTCATGCCACCATCTCCAAAACCAGACACGTCTATAGCCATGGCGTCGTCTCCAAAGCCTGCCGGTGGACATAACATAGCCATGCCATCGTCTCCGAAGCCATTCGGCGGGCATGCATCGTTTGTACCGCCGTCCCCAGCACCATATGGTGAGGCGGTGGGCGAACGCATTTTTACCATGACAGAAATCTACCGGTGTCCCATTATCCAGCGAGGAGCCGCCTCCACCCCTAACTAGTACCGGAGTACATGTTGAATAACAAGAGCATGTGGGTACATCACCTAGGTAGCATGAGTCGTACCCAGTGCTACACTTCTGGTGCTACTAGATAAGAGCAAGTGTACCATCAGCTGCTAAAAAGCTAGCAGATGAACTTCAAAAAAAAAATCTAGCAGATGTTTTAGTGGTGTATGCATGTAAGTCGGTTGTAAAAGCAATAAGAGCAATCAGGTTTCAAAGCCTCTAGTACTTGAGCTGCCTCAGTGGATGGCGATTGTGATGGCGGTCCTAACTTCAGCTAGGAAGAAGATTAGTTCCTTGGTGCTCTTCGCCGCGTGTCGTATCTGGCTCGAGCGCAATAACAGGGTTGTTTTCATGCCGTCATTAGTCCGTGCTGGCTTTGCCTCGTGGAAACTAGCTAGGGCTAGGTGAGGTGGCCCGAAGGAGGATAACTCTTGTGTTCTTTTTCTCTTGTGATGCAGGCCATAGCTTGTGGTGTGCTTGCTTGTAACTTTGTGCTACTCCTTTCCTATCTTTATAGGGTTTTTACCAGTCTCGCCATAGTTGTGCCACGATACTCAGTGTTGCCACACAAAAATGCGTTCTATATGACGTGCGGGACCACATTATATGACCAAAAGACCCCTAGACCCACATGTCAGAATCGGCTCTCTCTCCATTTCTTTATGACGTGCGGGACCCACTTGTCTACAAAGATGCAAAGAAAGAAGAACTAAAACTTGCCGGCAAGGTGGTTTGAAGCACCGTTTTAAATAGTGCGCTATATCATTTAGAGAGATCCCGCGGTAAGAAACTTTGGTCCTAACACATGAAGTGAAGTTTTAAATAGGGTGCTATAGCATCACTGTAGCGTTTAGAGAAGTCTGCCGCTAAGGGACATAGCCCGCTAGTTTTTTTTTAAAAAAGGAGGTTCAAACTCCGACCTCTACATCATTGTTATGCACACATCCATTTTATTAATTACTCAAAGTACATAACGAAGCTAACTAGGCCTGAAACGTTACAAGATATAAAATAGAGAGAGCAAGTTCTTACATGAGGCCAGGGGTACTTTGGTTATATAACGTGGTCAAATGGGTTTTGACATGGCGGTAACGGTGCCGCATGGCATTTTGGAGTATACATCTGAAAAATCTTTCTCAACGATTCCTATTCTACTAACAAGAGTAGACATGCAAAATTTATTTGTTACTGAAGAGAAAACCGTTCCAGTTGTTCCTGAATAGCTTCCTTCAAAAGGATTTCCACTTGCTCGGTGAATGTCTAATAGCATGATGGCATTTTCGAGCAGCTGAAACTTTTAGTGGCAAAACTGAGTAGCATGGCACAACTAATGTTGTAGCTGATAATAACCCATCTTAATATGTTTAGCTGATTTTTTTTTTGCATAAAGGACCACCTCACAAAGTTCAGGTCACACAAAAAAGAGAGTTTTGGTTCGGGTACATATGCCCCCTTTGGTATTTTACACGAATCTTAAAGTTACTTAAAAGGCTATCGCCATACTTGCCTGCATATCACGTATTGAATAGATTGATTTGCATAAAGAACACTATATTACCCTTTTTTTTATTGAAGGGGTGACTTCTAATCTCCAG